AATATGACAATGATGTTGATAATATTTATTTTGCTTGTCTTACTTTTTTGGTAGCAATCAGTGCCGTACAGAGGTACTATGCAAAATTTTACTAACTTAAAACCCTTTTTAAAATTGATGAAAAAGAAAAATAATTAATTTGATTTAATATGTTATAAAGGATGATTTATTCAAGGTAACAATAAAATTTAAAACATAAAAAATTTAAAACAACAACTCTTCAACGGTTGGTCTTGGCAACTCTCTCGATTTCATCCTTCTTCTTGATGACATAGCTGGAAATACAAGGACATAAAATCAGTTTAATGCACCACAAAAGAGAAACATAATAACTTCATCAGATCATTTAAGCGATCTACTTGTCAGATTTGAATATAAGAAAAGATCGTTTAAGCCACTTAAGCGATTTGGTGGCCACCAGATCTGATCTGAGCAGTATATCGTTTAAGCGATCTTTGGTCACTTAAGCGATCTGATGTTCAGATCTAAAAATAAGAGTAGATCACTTAAGCAATCGGCTGTTATCTGCAGATCTGAACATCAAATCGCTTAAACGACCTAAGATCGCTTAAACAATCTACTGTTCAGATATGCAGATAACAGTCGATTGCTTAAACGATCTTATGTCACTTAAGCGATCTGATCTTATCTGCAGATTGCTTGCTTTCTTGCTACTGATCAATTCGAACCTAATGTTTAGGATCTGCATGTGATTGATTCTGGCAATTGCTTCTCTTGTGGCCAGGTTGCTTGCAAATTGAGCACTTATTCATCCTCCGGGGAACCTCACAAGCTGATAGAATACGCTTAACTCTTTTTCTCCCATTTTCTGTCTTTTTGAATAGCAGATATATGATAATGTGAACCAACTCTGGCGGCACCACCCACTGCTCTTATTAAGGAACTTAATATATCGTTTCCAAATAAGCTAACATGTAGTGATTTGCCATATAAAGAGGGCAGCAAAGTTCCATGTAAATTCTTGAACCAAAATCTGGCTTCCATTGGTGTTTCAGTGCTTCTAGTACATGACGACAAGGTAAACGTTGAATGTCAAGCACTTTACAGCTGCAAGTTTTACTAAAAAGATTAACTAGGGCATCCGAACCATAGTTGCACACGGTGAACTCTTAAGCATTAAAAGGATAGGCAAACAGTGCATTTGATAGTTCCATACATTCTCGCAATAATTTTTCAACTGACAGAACAAGAGTTGTGGTAAAATTATGTGACTCTGTACGACGCTCATGGAACCACCGTGACAATGTCCTCTAGATTGCATCAAAAAGGGCAACTATTGGAAACTCTCTTTCTATTAACAACTTCGAATTTATGGACTCGGCTATGTTCATGGTCAAGAAATCAAACCTTCTTCCAGTAAAGTAAGCTCTATTCCATTGTTCGAAACCAACATCATGCTCAAGATACTTAGCAATTCTATCATCTTTGATTCGAATTTTTCGGAAGTGCTCCTCGAACTCATCAACTTGATAAGCTTTTGCTGCCATGTAGTATGTCTGAAAGAGGCCAACACACTTAAACTTTTGTTTTATGTTCTCACCAAGGTGCTTCATACAGAATCTGTGATGTGCTTGAGGGTAAATAGTGGCAATTCCTCTCTTTATAGAGTTGTGCCTGTTGGATATTATGCACAACTTGTCACTATCAAGCACTATCATACGTAATTGCTGAAAAAACCAAATCCACGACTTGTCGTTCTCAAAGTCAACCATACACCATGCAACGGGATATGTGTGAATCTCGCTATCATGTGCAGTGGCCACCAACAATGTACCTCTATACTTTCCCGTCACAAAGCAACCGTCAATAGCCAACACCTTTCTCATGTTTACAAAACCCTTTATAGCAGCATCGTAAGCAACAAAAAAATATTTAAACCTCATATTCTTGTCCCACTTCAAAGCCGTCTTTCTACCTTGGTTTGACTCAAGCATATAATGGTACGCTTCTAAAACTACGTATATGTGCTCCAATGTGCCCCTCACAAAATCTTGTGCATGTTATCTCATTTTCTATCATTTCCAGTAACTAACAATGCATCACAACTCTGTGTGCACAAGTCTCTGAATGTCCTTAGAGATGGACCTTTCCTTTCAACGAACTAACTTTTGACAAATTGTCCAATAACATCAGTGGAGGCTTGCCGATGCTCACCTGAAATATGTCCTAAACCACATATGTGCTCATGGGTATATGTGCTAACAATAAATTTTTTGGACTCCACCAACCTTCTACAATAAACCCACCACTTGCACTTTCGGTCACGACATGCAACTGCCACTACCGATGAATTAGACTTTTTGGTGATAACCTCAAAATTACCTCTCACGACAATAAGTTTTAGCTTCCTCACCACTTCCTCTTTGTTGTCAAATAAATACCCTATGCGCAACTCCAATCCATCAGTAAAAACATGAGTTAATTCACTACTACTTGCAATTGTCGCAAATATGTCCTAAACTACATGTGTACTCACGGGTATATGTGCTAACAATAAATTTTTCAGACTCCACCAACCTTTTACGATAAACCTACCACTTGCACTTTCGATCACAACGTGCAACCGTCACTACCGATGAATTAGACTTTTTGGTGAGAAACTCAAAATTACCTCTCACGGCAATAAGTTTTAACTTCCTCACCACTTCCTCTTTGTTGTCAAATAAATACACTATACGCAACTCCGATCCATTAGTAAAAACATGAGCTAATTCACTACTACTTACAATTGCCGCAAATATGTCCCAAACCACATGTGTGCTGACGGGTATATGTGCTAACAATAAATTTTTCAGACTCCGCCAACCTTCTACAATAAACCCGCCACTTGCACTTCGGTCACGACATGCTACCATCACTACTGATGAATTAGAATTTTTGGTGATGAACTCAAAATTACCTCTCACGGCAAAAAGTTTTAGCTTCCTCACCACTTCTTCTTTGTTGTCAAATAAATACATTATGCGCAACTCCGATCCATCAGTAAAAACATGAGTTGATTCACTACTACTTGCAATTGCTGCCTCTGAACCTGCATAAAAGACCATATTTTCCCTTCCTCACAAACTACACCTTCTGCATAATTTGTATTTAAAGGAATCTCTACATCTGCGAGAACATGTACGGGGTCCTTCTCCTCAACATTTTCATTCTGCCGCAATGACCAACCTCTTCTACAGTGTCCTCCTCACCACCCAAATCACCACCTACTCTTGATTTTTCAACTAAGAAATCAATGTCCTCGTAGTTCAAATTAAAACCAGTATTCTCTCTACCAACTTCCTCGTTATCCCCTTCCTTTGAACCAACTTCCAACGGTTTATCAACAACTATATCACTACATGAGATACCTTCATCCAACTTTAATATAGCAGGAGATACCTTATAATGTTCAGGAACTCTGCTTAACACATACTTCACAACTACATCACTACATGAGCAACTCAAATCACCTCTTCTAATTATTTTATCAATCAACTCATCAAAACTAACCTCTGCGCTCACAGCAATTGGGATAACTTCTTTGCTCTTCCTAATGCACTTCCAACAACTTTCTTCCTCCACCCACTCACCAAAATATTCAACACCAAAAACAACTTGTCTCATGTCTAATAATAGCCAAGTACCTATAATGCAAGAAAAAAAAAATATTATTAACTGATGTATTAAGGGTTGAAAGATTTTAAAAAGCATCTGCAGAGTCGCTTGAGCGATCTAGTGTATCGCTTAAGCGATTTGGTATATCGCTTACTAGATCGCTTAAGCGATATAATGAATCGCTTAAGCGATCTGGTATAAATAAGCATGATCGCTTGAGCGATCTTCTACCATTTACCTGATCACTTAAGCGATCTACGATATGCTGCATTATACTAAACATACTAGATCGCTTAAGCGATCTATCATATCCAGAACACATTTTCAGTCATCTCCACCTATAATCGGTGCTACGAACCCCAGCTACCCACAATGCAAGAAAATATTCAACAATTTTCACTCCTTTCAACTTGCATTACATCAAACACAACCCAACAACATAAACAACTAAATCAAAATCATAACCCAAACCCAATCCATCATTAAATCTTTGTAAATCGAAATATAAAATGGAAATGAGAGATACACATACCTGGATGAAATTTCAAGAGGTGGAGGGGGAGGAGGATCTGTGGCGGAGAAGATGTTAATGGCGGAGGAAGAAGATAGTGTTAATGGTGGGAAAAAGAAGATGTACAGGATGGAGGAAGAAGAAGATGTACAAGAAAAAGAAGATGTAGATGAAACTTAGAATAAACAGCAACCAGGAGAGCGATGTGTTAATGGCGGGAGGAAGAAGAAGAAGATATTATGTTTAGGTTTGTTTGCAAAAATTTCAGGTTTTTGAGGACATATTTCATTAATCCTAATTAAGTCATGATTAGTGTTTAATTGTCATTAGTTTGTCTTAATAAAAAATAAGGTCATTTAGTAAAGACTAAAAAATTATATGGCCTTTTAAATAAATTCAAAGCCAATATTTGCCCCCTTTTTTTAGTTGTAAAAACATAGCCCTCCTATTGATGATCACCTGTCAAGCCAAACACTTGTCATTCTTTTAAAACGGTGCATAACCATCTTTTTTATGATACTATAAACTAATTCAATTATTCCTCTTTTCAATTTGAAAATGTTTAGTTTGGACATACTTTACACATACGGAAAATTTATTCTAATATAAAAATCTTGTAAATCCTTTAAAAATTTATTATATACTTTGTCAAATGTTTGAATTTTTCAACCAAAATAAATAAATAAAGCTCTTACAATTTACTAATATAATAATATAATTTATGAAATAAATAGTATATAAAGTACATTAGAGTTTACTAATATAACCACTTAAACATTCACTGCAATTTTGTAAGATTGGGCTTTATTATAAATTAACTGAAGCCCAAGTCCTAAGGCCCATATGGTTAGCCCATCTAGGGGACAGCCCAATGAAAACTAGGGTTTTATATCTATCTTTAACCTATAATAAACCAACCTTCGCCCCTTTTGCTACGAGAGTAAGCTCCGTCCGCTCCTTGCAAAATCAGAACTTGTAAGTTCCTCTCTTCAATCAAGCAACGAATCTCACTTACTCTTTGAAATTTAATCTCTTTCGTAACTGTTCTTCTTCTTCTGTAACGCCTTTTGCAGCAGGTAAAGGTAAGACTTTGAGAGATGGTTAAACACAACAATGTCGTGCCAAATGGGCACTTTAAGAAGCACTGGCAGAATTATGTCAAGACTTGGTTTAACCAGCCTGCAAGGAAGACCAGGAGACGCGTTGGTTAGTTTTTATTTATCTATTTATTTCTTTTAACTTTTAACTTTTAATTATTATTATTATTTTTTTTTTATTTTTTTTATTTTTTTTTATTTTTTTTTTGCGTTTTTGATTTGTGGGTTAAGTAAATTTTGGTTTTGATTGATTTTTTTGTGTTATTGTTTGCAGCTCGTCAAAAGAAGGCGGTGAAAATCTTTCCTCGCCCGACAGCTGGGCCGCTTCGCCCCATTGTTCACGGGCAGACTTTGAAGTATAACATGAAATTGAGGGCTGGGAGAGGCTTCACTCTTGAAGAACTCAAGGTGGACTTTTTTTTTTTCTTTGTTATTGTTTTAGATATGTGGTTTACTTTTCAGTACATCTAGATCTGTGAAATTAGAAATTCAATTACATGTATAAATGTATTCTATTTTGGTTGTTTGTCAGTTGTGTTTTAGTTCAAATTACAGAAAGTTATTGTATGCACTATAAAATTTCAATATACGGGGTTAAAACAATAGCTTTAATGGATTTAGTAACTTGAAAATGGGTGTTTTTTTAATTTAAATTTTAGTTATCACAAGGAGGAGGTGGGGTAATTTGATTTGTGTTTTTGTTTGAGATAAGGGTGGTGCTGTGAGATGTTTAATTTTGTGTTTTTGTTTGATTGGAAGGGTGGTGCTGCCGTGTGTGGTAACCGAAAAAACAAAATGTGAAAATAAAATGAAGTTATTTTGAGTTCTATAGATTGTTGCCATCATAAACGTAGTGAATCTAAGTTCGGGTGTTATTATTGATTGTGTTTCCTATTGGGGATGTAATGCTCTGTACTCAATCAGGCTGCAGGCATTCCCAAGAAACTAGCACCAACTATTGGCATTTCTGTTGATCATCGCCGTAAGAACCGATCCTTGGAGGGTCTTCAAGCTAATGTTCAAAGGTTGAAGACATACAAGGCCAAATTGGTTGTCTTCCCAAGACGTGCACGCAAAGCTAAGGTAATTGGAGAGAGAAATGTATAATGATTGCATGTTGTTGTTATCTGTTTCTATATTCAAATTTTATTTATTGTCTTTTTGGGATGTAGGCTGGTGATTCTGCTTCGGAGGAACTGGCAACAGCAACCCAAGTACAAGGCCCCTACATGCCTATCACTCTTGAGAAACCTACTGTGGAGCTTGTTAAGGTTACTGAAGATATGAAGTCCTTCAAGGCATATGGCAAGCTGCGTGTGGAGAGGATGAACACACGCCATGTTGGTGCCAGGCTGAAGAAGGCTGCAGAGGCTGAGAAGGAAGAAAAGAAGTAAAGTTGTTTGACTTGATTACACATAATTTTGAAGTCTGATGTTGGACTACTTTTTGCATCTAGGATTTGACTCTGGTTTTTATAGTTATTTTCAACTGTTAATCTGGTTTATAAGCCTTAAAATTTCTTGGTTGTATCGCATGTGTAGACTTATGCCTATATTTTTCTTTGAGTATTTTATTCAATGAAGTAAATTCTGGCACTTCTTAAGCTCTAATGGCAATGGTTAGACATATTTGTGGGTTCTTTGCTGTGCAAATTGTGTTAGAAAGAAAAATATCATTCATGCTGGGCTACCATAACAGTCTGTATAACGGTCATTCTGTTTGAAGGTTACTGCTTTGTTAGCTCAAGGAATCCTCAGTTTATTAGTAATATTCTTTGAGTTTAATGCCTTCTGTTTGATGGTTTAGTGGGGTTTATGGAGTCTCAGAATAATGTTTCCGCTTGATGGTTTGTGGGAACTCGGTTATCGGTCTTTGATTAATCAAAACCAGGGGAAAGTTGTATTAGTTTAATTCAGTCTTATATATTGCAGGAGAAATGGCCATTTATGTTAGGAAATATTCTGACGTTGATTTTTTTGTTGGGTTACTTTGTGTCAAATTTATTTCTTTTTTTAATTTTATTCGTTAAAATATAGATTGCTTAACCTTAAGGCTTGATAGAAGTAGAAAATTAGATTCTTCAAATTATAAATTTAGTGTAATACTGCTAATAATGTATTGGTATAGATGTGTATGAATTATGATCACTCTTTTCAAAAGTTTTTATTAATCGCTTTTTAAAAGTTTGGGAAGATATTCCATATTTCCACTCACCATTTAAACATATTCTATACAGCATCCTCTTTTTAAATAAGAGAATACCCAATCTCACCCCAACAAAAAAAAAAAAAAAAGTTTCATCATTTTTTTTCCACTTTCAAAGGGTAATTTTATCTTTTAATATAAATCAAACTAAAACTTTAATATTAAATCCCTGAAATTTTCAGCTTATCAATTGTCTATGGCCATTAATGGCCATGGATCTGGCTGTTTTCGGCTAGATCTATAAATTTGGCCGGAAACAGCCATAATTAATTTGGTTAAAGCTTTAACTAGCCAGATTCAAAATGGTCACATCGGCATACGGTTGGCAAGATTCAATTGGTCGTGCATCGTTTCGATGCTTGCGACCGATGCTGGTGGTTAGCTTTGGCCACCAGTCTTGGGTATTTGTTTTCAAGTTCAAAGGAATTTATGTTCTAAAAATTTTTTATATAAGAATAAAACAGTCCATCAATATTTTTGTAAAAGGTTTTCACAACAAGAACATTATTATTCAAAAATTTTAATAATTAAGAATAAAATTGTAACAAAATTAAAATTAAAATATTTAAAAAAATTATGGTATTCAGATTATCACCTATATAATCAATAATAATTATAATTGATTTTGAAAGATTACGAAAATGTTATATTATTTAACAATCAAATATGATAATATAAGTAATATAAGATAATATTAGTCCAATAATATACACCGCAACCAATCGCCTCTCGGGGATAAAATTTGACTTCAACCGGTCAAAGCTAGTCAAATTAAAAGAATAGACAAAGACAAGATATCGTGATAGATTGGGGGTCAAAATGTGATTGGGCAATCTAACGGTAGATATAAATCCCAAAAATTGGCATAGAGATTTTAAAAGTAGGGCTGTTTTGTGCCAACACTGCACTTAAAGCAAAGCCACCACCTCGTCACCAAGCTTACACAAAGCAGACAAAGCAACAGCTTGGTAAGCTCTCTCTTTCTTTCATCAACACCTTGGTTTCCTGTAATAATTCTGCACTAATACTAATAAATTATAATGCTTTCTTTTTTTCTATATAAATAAACTCCAAGGTCTCCCTGATTTTCTTCTCATAGTTTAATATATAGCCACTTCGGTGATGGGGAAGAGTGAATTTGGGTTTCTCATGTGGAGGTGATTGGAAATGGATAAATTATTTTGCTTTTTGTTTTAAATTTCGGTTCACATTGCATTGTTGATTGTTTATGGCATGGGTTATCTTCTCTTTACTTTGTTTTGATTTTGAGTTCAGTTCACAACCTCATGACTGTATCCTTCTTCTAATCAGTCCTTCCCAACCTCTCCGACCTCTTCTTTGTTAGAATGAGTTCAGGAATTCAAGTCATAAACACCGCCAACATTTTTTTTTTTTTTTATAATTTTAGTTGAGATCGTATTTTGTGATTGTCTATGGATGTTTTGATTTTAGGGCTTACAATGTTGAAATGTTAGTTCTGGTTTTAGTTTTGAGATTGTTGTTTTGAATATTTACCTTTTTTTTTTTTTAATTTTATATTATATTTGTATCTTTAATTTAAATGACGGAGGGTATTTTTATTTACATAGAAGACTCTATGTTAAATGTGGTCCAATAATACATGGATGGATTTTTTTTCCCTTCCAATCTATCCCAAACTTTAGCATTATCTGCCTGGTAATTTTTTCGGGTATTTAGAAGAGATTTTAATGCATATTGACCATCGTCTATAGGGGTTTGCTTCTTTGAACATTCATTATTCTTTAACTTTGAGTTCTGGTCGTGATTTCTGTTTGATTGGTATTATTACTGAACCACAGTTCTTATATTGATATATGTAAAGGGTTTGTTGAAGTTATTCTTTGTTTTTTTGTTTTTTTTTTTATATTGATAAGTTAATATTATGGTTCTAGGCTTGTTTAAGTTTACTTTAATTAAACCTTAAATGTTGTTTTTAGAGCTTGGAGTTGGAGAATTTGAGTACCCATTTTTCAGAAAGAGATGAGCTACGATTTTATTAATTCCAATTAGATAATCAAATCATTGCTGCCAAATATAGCTTGATTGCATCACATACTATTTTATATGAAATTTTTAAAATCCAGTTTTTTTATTTTTTGTTGACCTTGAGAATTAGGATAGTTTCTGATGGCATTTTGAACACAGATTGAGTGAAATTTTACATATCGATTCTTAGTTAAAATTTATGTATTGGGATTAGTAAACATTGCATAATAAATTGCACTGAACTGTTGTTCTGTAATTTTCTTTTATTTTTATGAACATTAATTTGTTGAAGTTCGGTTCTTTTGATTCTTGTCCCATCTTGATATGCTTATGTTTTTTCGTATAGGGGGTTTTAAGCACTTTGGGAAGCAACTCAATGGCTTCATCGTCATGCTCTACATCTATGTTACATAGGGGCTCATTTAATCCAAAACAGATAAAAAATTGCAATAAAGAATTGACATTCAATCATTCAAGTTTTTGTTGTAAATCTTCAGATCATTGTAAGTCACTTTCTGCAACTACCGATATTAAACCATCAAGATTGTTATTACTGAATGAGAAATCAATGAAATGGAAGCAAACCTCAAAGTTTTCCTTAAAAAATTCAGTTCAGTGCCGAGCACTTGAAATTGAGAATAAACCTTCATTTACCATAGGAAAGAAGTTTCAACTGGGTGATGTGATTGAAGCTCAACAGTTTGATAGGGATACTCTTAGTGCTATATTTGACGTTGCACGTGAAATGGAGAAGATTGAGAAGAATTCACCTGGAAGCCAAATACTTAAGGGTTACTTAATGGCTACTCTGTTTTATGAGCCCTCTACTAGAACTAGGCTTTCATTTGAATCTGCTATGAAACGGTTAGGTGGGGAAGTTTTGACTACTGAGAATGCTAGGGAATTTTCGTCTGCTGCTAAAGGGGAGACACTTGAAGGTATATATATCTTCTTAATCTTTTATTAGTAGTTATCTGAGGTGATTTTCTTGCAATTTTGTTATGATGTAATTGTTTGACTTGCAGACTCTATAAGAACTGTTGAGGGATACTCTGATATTATAGTTATGCGACATTTTGAAAGTGGTTCTGCCAAAAGAGCAGCGGCCACGGCCAACATTCCTATTATTAATGCTGGAGATGGTCCTGGACAACACCCAACTCAGGTGGGCTCAGAATTTCCATAATGCATTTATCTATGTGAGGCATATGCATACACACACATAATTTTTTCTGTGAAGATATGCAACACCATTAAGTATGTGGGATTGTATTGATGAGATCTTTTTGTGTGAATGAGATGTTTTCATTTCCTAAATTTTTATATGTAGGGAGCATGAGAGATGTTCCAACTTCAATTAGGATTGTGTGATATTGAGTATGTTGATTCCTATTTATTGGTAAGCAATTTTACAAACAGCTAAGAGAAGGAATCACTCTTGCTTTTTGCCAAATGCAGGCCCTTTTAGATGTCTATACTGTTGAAAGAGAGATAGGGAAGCTAGATGGCATCAAAGTAGGCCTTGTGGGAGATCTTGCTAATGGAAGGACGGTTCGGTCACTTGCATACTTGCTTGCCAAGTACCAAGATGTAAAGATATACTTTGTGTCTCCTGAGGTGGTAAAAATGAAGGTAATGTATTGAAATATCCTGTTCACCTCTTGTGAAAAATATTTTAAACTTAGATAGACATTCATAAGATAGGAACTAGTTCTATATTTTCCAACATGTTGCTCAAATTTTGCCTATTCTAGGATGATATTAAAGAATATCTGACATCAAAGGGTGTGGAATGGGAAGAAACTTCTGATTTAATGGAAGTGGCTTCTAAGTGTGATGTGCTATATCAAACTCGCATCCAACGAGAACGGTTTGGAGAGAGAATAGACCTTTATGAAGAAGCTCGAGGCAAGTACATCATGGATCGGGATATATTAAGGGTGATGCAGAAGCATGCCGTGGTGATGCACCCGCTTCCAAGACTCGATGAGGTAAAGCATGTTCTAGTTGTGAGTGATGTTGGCATAATAATTAAAAGATGAGACTTCTTATTTGGTTTGTTATATTATGTAGATAACTGTGGATGTCGATGCCGATCCTAGGGCTGCCTATTTCAGACAAGCCAAAAATGGTCTCTATATTCGGATGGCTCTTTTGAAACTCCTGCTTGTTGGGTGGTGAGAAAAGCTCCATCTCCACCTTCGAATTGTATAGTAATTTTTTTGGGCGGATTATTTTCTTCAGAGCAAAAACTTTATCGCAAAATCTGTGACAGTTTTGCAGTTAAAGGATTTTCTCCCAATAAGTTATGTGGGATGTTTGAAACAATTTTCTGCTGTGATGTTTGAGACAATTTTGTGCTTATCAAAATCTGAGTTAATTTTCTCCATTTGAGGGTAGAGTCTCGGTCAATCTGTGTTTTGCCTAAAAAATATAGCAAATACCAAGTTAAAAATGATCCAAAGAAATAATATAACACAGAAGTATGGGAATGCCACATTAATTCTAGAAAATTAATTATTATCAATTGAATCATCAAATTTACAATTGAAATTTGAATTAAAATGTGGAAGCAATTTAATCAACAGCATATCGTAACTTTGGTATATGCCCTTCAGGAATCAGAACTGGCAAGAGGACTAATATCTCCCATCTTTATGATGGTAGTTGCAAAATCAGATTTGAGTTTTGTAGGGTTCTGTTCTCACTACATCTATCAAACAATACTGTGGGTGGATCCTCCACTAAAGAGTATTGGATCTGATGTAAGAAGAACCTTCTTTTGAAGAAGATTCTTGAAGTTGATGTTATCGAAACACCTATTCCAGCAGTGCAAGATTTGCAATCCCACTAGTAGAGTAGGTGGTAGTAGCAATAGCAAACCCAGCATCGAAATCACCATAAATCCTATTACGGAATGTGATTCCCCAATTGTATGTAACAGTATTGATCCCTCTGTCATCAGATTATGTATCTTTTTTATAATCTCCAGGTGTTTAAATTTATTTACTCATGTCTACTTCAAGTTCAATGAAAAATCAACTCAGTATATACAGACCTTAAGATTTAAATCACAGTTAGCCACTTATTATACTCTATAATTTATAAAACAGTTTATAATAATATCGGAGATTTATCTATATATTTATAAGATGAATCAGTAGATTACATCATAGGAAAAGCAGAGAAGATAAAATCCTAATACAATCTAGGAATACATTTTGCAGTGACATCAACCCAGATCCCACTGCAGCGACTAAATTCTTTTTCAGACTCTTCTAATTTCAACCTGAGGCGGTCAACTATACAATTCATCAGAATCTCTGAATTTTTCTCAGTCAGATCCATGTCAGAACAGAAATTTTCCACGCATCTAAATTGTAAGATGCTTAAGTCGTTTTTAATATCAAAGGTATCACCATCCAATAATTCCTCAATTCTGTTAATGGTGGATTATAGTCGATTCAACAAAACATCTGCCCCACATCGACCATCTTCACATTTGTTGAGGGTTTGTTCATATACATTATGGTGCCTGATTCTGTAGTTCATTTTCCCTGGATCCCTGCCTACCCACTCATCATTCAATACCTCAGCATCCAACTCTGATCTCTGGCTAGATTTAGGAACAACAAAGTCTTGAGGCACATGCCAATAACTAGGTGTAACATGTTCAGAGTTAGAAAAATCCAAATCTCGAAGTCGTTTACCCCAATCTTTATGCTTCTTTCCCCTTTTCAATTTTCACCTTTTTGGTCTATAGCCTTCTGTGCTCAACTTTGTTTTCAATTTTGGGTCTTTTATGCTCAGCCTTTTTCTGATTTGACTTATTTATTTCCACCAATACTGTCACATTCACTAAAAAACTCTTCAAATTGAGCCAAGATACAAGGATACTTGGCCAGTGATTGAAACAAATCCTTTATCTTAATCCTTCCACAGTTGTATTCATGAACCTTCTTCAAGAATTCCAAATACTCATCAGAATCATTTAACATATTCTTGATGTTTTGAAACACATTAAACCCTTTCTCGTAAACAAAATCAACCCCAAGCATTTCATTGGAATCATTGGAAGCATCGTTGCTTTCATCTTCCTGCTCTTTGTTTACACTAAAAATTTCACAATTTTTGTGAAACTCATCCATCAAATCCAGATGATAAGTGCTATGCCTCAAAAATATAAGGGCTGACGTAAGGTTCAGTCAGCATGCAAAAGTCAGATCATGGGAATGCCCGCAGCCCGCTTCTGTCAGAATAGTGGGCGCGTGCCAGGCCAACCAAGAGCTGTGATGATCCCACGTGTCCAATCCCTGCTCCAAATCGCGCAAATCACTAAAGAAGGTGGGCATGTGACATAAAGAAGGATTTTGCATGGATAATCTCACCAACCCACAGATTCAGTGATGATTGCCTTGATCTATTCCTCTATAAATTGAGAGCCCCTCTCTCATTGAGGGGGGATTCGTATATTTTACATCTGATTAGCTATTCTCTCTCTCTCTCTCTCTCTCTCTAGATTTTTTCAGTATTTGATACCTTGTATTACCATTTTAAAGTCAGTCAGTCAAAGCGACCTAACCCTTATCATCAATATAAGCATCAGTGGACGTAGGACTTGCTACCTTAGCATCCGAACCACTTTAAAAATTGTCCCCATTGCATTTACTGTCATTTTCCTTTACATTCACGTTTGTCTTTTGGTCAGCTCAACATTTCACACGTGTATTTTGTTGGTGTAAAAATCACGCATCAACAATAAGTTTGATGATGGAAAAGGCTTGTGTATTTGATCTCTTCATTGAGAAGAGCGGAAGGTGAAGATTGTGAAGTGAAAATTAAGGAAACAGAAAGTNTAATTCTTGGAAAAACAATGCACAAGAAGTCTATCACTAGAGAAATTAATTCATTGCAAGACCAAAAACAAAAATAAAATTTTATATATTAAAAAAAGGGCATTAAAAACTGAAAATAATTCATAATTAAGTATACAAATTAAAAAGAGAAAGTGAAAATAATTAAAAATTAAAAGCTTTTATTAAGTGATCAGTTTGATTTAATATAATGAGTATATTTCATTCTGATTTTTTAAAATATTTTTATTTGAAAATAAAATGTCTAAGTTATTATAAAACTAATAAAAAAATTTGAAAATAGAGAAAACACCATGACTGGGGATATTTGATTGAGCAATAACACTACGGACACTGAAAAAGTTACACCGAAATTCTGTACCAACCTACGTGTAACGCGCGTCTGAATTTTTTTATAATTTTTTTCTAGTGAACGGTCGTCCATCACATTTGGATGGTCGTTCACGCACATGGACGGCCGTCCATATTATATGGACGGACGTCCATATACAAGGGACGGACGTCCCCATTTAAAGGACGCCCGTCCCTGATTAAAATACAATTAAAAAATTTGTAAAACATTAGGGACTGCCGTTCATCCATTATGGACGATCGTTTCTTTATTTTGGACGAGCGTCCGTAAATAAGGAACGTCCGTTCTTAACCAAAATATGAAAATAAAAAAAAAAATTTGGGACGGCCGTCCATAATTTGGACGCCCGTCCATACTTTAAAAAAAAAAAAAACATTAAGCCTCTTCTTCTTCGCTCCTCTTCTTCGTCATCAATATATAAGACTTTTCTGGAACTTGATCTTTCTATTCACTCTAAGAGCAGGCAAGAGTCTAGTAGGTTGAAAAAAATAAATCATCTCCGCGAAGATCTTCAAAGTATATGGCAGCTAGTCTCCCCTTGTCTCGCATGTTGTTCACAAGGTTCTTGGATTGCTATGAGTTTCATTTGTATATCACTCATATATCTTGTGTGCTTTTTCAATTGATTTGTTTTATCTTAAATTAAATGAGATATGCTTTCCCTCCTGTTTAAGAATGGGAAAGCAATTATCAAAACTTCACGCAATTGTCAATAAATTTCTAATCTCCTACCTATATTATTGCTCCGCAATCAAAGTTTATTTTGGTAGGTCTGACAAAACAATAAATTTCTAAGTTTCTTTTGGTAGGTCTGACAAAACAATAAAGCAACAGATATGACACTTTATTGCCGTTGTCTATAACCTTTCTTCAACGCACAAGGCTGACAAATTCCAAATCAATTAGATTAGTATAATAAAATAATAAATCAATAGAAAAATTAATTAATAATTATAATATTCATGAAAATATGAATATTAAAATTAGTTAGCGGCATGAGACAAATTTGGCAGCATATATATATATATATATATATANATAAGTTTGATGATGGAAAAGGCTTGTGTATTTGATCTCTTCATTGAGAAGAGCGGAAGGTGAAGATTGTGAAGTGAAAATTAAGGAAACAGAAAGTATATAGATATTATGGTTTTAAATCCTGATGACAATTGGATTTGTATCTATAAATTAGGATTTTGAAACTCATTGGACAAGTAATTTAGAAGAGTAACCTAGTGGAATTTGATCAGTTAATGGTTTACTAAAACTCCAGTTCCGTAGATTCCAAGTGTCCACTGATAATACATAAGTTTACTTCAATCAACAAATCCATTTTCTCATGAAACCATAAATTTCTCTGGATCTTTCTCTCTAGTTTTATTCCACTGAAAATTCTTGTTTTTCCTGATTTTATAGGTGAACAATGGTTGTATGATTCCTTTGTCCGTAAATTTAAGGATTTATATGGAATAATTTTTTTTTCAAATACCGCATTCATAAAGTTCATAATTGATCGTAGCTGCAGAAATGCTACTCTGCTTGTGCTTCCAACTGGTTATTCTGAAGAGGCTTTGAATTATGCTAGAGAAGAGTAGGGTAACTATCCAAATGGCCTTCAAAAGTTTTTTTTTTTTAATTATTATTATTGGAATCTTCAATAGATCCAAAAGAATTTCAAGGATTCTTCTTCAGTCATTTCTTGCAAAAGATTTATAGAATCGATCACTGACAAATTGTTGTTTTCAGGTGTCCAGCCCTAAAGATTTTAAGGCTGCCCAATCTTGAGCTTGAAACAATTTATCCCAGTGAGCAGCTAAGGATTATTGAACTGATAGGAAAGTGGGATCATTTGGAAACATTAGTAATTGGAATGCCTCCCTTTTTATTTTACATTAAAGATTGAGAAAGAGTTTGCTAATTCCTTTAAACTATGAGTCTTTTCTAATTTTAAAGCTCCTATGTATATCAATAATGCTACGAACACCGGGATTCTACACAGAAATCTTACACCGGCCTACGTGTCCCATGACTCACACCAGACACGTTTCACGTTCAAAAGTTTTTTTTTATTGAACGGTCGTTCATCAACGATGGACAGCCGTTCACTTACATGGACTCCCGTCCATATTATATGGACGGGAGTC